ATTTATTTCTAACGTTTTAACGAGTTGCAAAAATCCGTTAAAATTTGAAGTCGTTATGTACCAAACGATGTGTACATGACGTTGTACAGTCATCTGTCAATTTTGACGGACGGAATTCGTTAGCATTTCACTTCGCTATTAAACCAACAAAAAATCTGGAGATCGTTAACTTTAATTGACGTTCAAATGTCTGGTCTTTCAGTAACGTTATCCCAATAGACGACCGAACTGTGCATTCAGCTTGCTGCTTTGGAGTTGATGTAAGCACTGCAGTAATTTCCGGCAACATCTCTCTAAATTGTGTATTTCTTTGCTTGTCCCGCTTCAGGATCAAGGAAACGGATCACTTCGTCCCGGTCAGACCCGGAGATATGATTCTCGAGCTGAATGGTCAGCGTGTGAAAGACATGAAACCCGAGCTGGTGGGTGCAAGGGAATACATGTTACTCTCTGGTTCTCAGTTTCTCTTTTCTCTCTCTATATATATAATGTATCTCCCTTTCGGTATTTCTCTCTCTCTTTCTCTCTCTCTCTCCCTCTCTCTCTCTCTCTCTCTCTCTCTCTCTCTCTCTCTCTCTCTCTCCCTCTCTCTCTCTCTCCCTCTCTCTCTCTCTCTCTCTCTCTCTCTCTCTCTCTCTCTCTCTCTCTCTCTCTCTCTCTCTCTCTCTCTCTCTCTCTCTCTCTCTCTCTCTCTCTCCCTCTCTCTCTCTCCCTCTCCCTCTCTCCCTCTCTCTCTCTCTCTCTCTCTCTCTCTCTCTCTCTCTCTCTCTCTCTCTCTCTCTCTCTCTCTCTCTCTCTCTCTCTCTCTCTCTCTCTCTCTCTCTTTCTCTCACCGACTAACTCACTATGTCTCTCTCACGCACACACACACACGCACACATGATTGTGTTTCCGTAGCTGCAAGCACAACTCCGCCAATGCCAAGGGAGTGGATTCACACTGACCCTGGAGCGGAAGATTGCGAAAAATGTAAGACTACAATGTAGTGGACAAGAAGTTATAGATACAGTGAAGAGTCCATAACCCAGAACACTGTGTTTTCCAGCGTGTAACGACAATCGAATATATTTTTTGATAAACAGGGTAGATGTCTGTATTTCGTGACGAAAAAATCTTCGTGGAACTGTGGTTTCTTTTCTATGGGTCAGTCATACAACTACAGTCATGTGTATGTGATTTTAAAAACGAAGTCCAGATGTACAGTCAACTTCGCTATTAGCGACTGCGGAAATAACGGCAATTCACGAATAACGACAGAATTCCCATGCCCAGAGCAGAGTCCCATCCAACTGCAATACATAAAATGAGACTTCGGGTATAAGGACCCTTCGCGAATAAGAACACTTTTCTGACGCCCCGCCGAGTGTCGTTATATGCAAAGCTGACTGTACAGGTGATCTCCTTATCCAGGGTCACATGAGACAGCCACCTGTACGAAGAGACCCTTTGGTCTTGATTGTAGTGGTCCTCTTGGACAGGTGGTCTCTTTGTCCAGGGTCATTTGACTCATTTCACTGGAAATGACATCCCTTGGCCTGGTTGTAGTGGTCTTCTAGGACAGGTGGTCTCCTTATCCAGGGCCATTTTACTGGAAATAGCATCCGTCGGTCCTGGTTGTAGTGGTCTTCTAGGACAGGTGGCCGCCGTATCAGAGTGGTCGTCGTGACAGGTTCAACATTATGTTGATTGTGGTGTGGACCCCGGGATGAGCGGTCTCGCAACACGTCCCCTTCTTGCAATGGTTCGGAGTTTGAATCACCAACCTCTCTGTAATTAAAATAGAAGAAATAACATGGAAACGAGTTATGAAGCAGCTATCCACGACTGTAACAAGATAATAAGCAGTCAGAAAGTGCCATTACAGGGCACAAAACTGTGATTTCTTCTTTTTGAATTATATTTTCTGGCTCAGTATCCGAGTTAAATTTGCACACTCTCTGTAATTGTGCCTTTACATTCGGTACTCTTTGGCTGTTTTTCATCTGCCTACTACAGCTCCTGCACCGGCGGGGAGAAGTCGAGGTCTTTCAGAAAAGCGTAAGCGCAGTTTGTTGTTTTGCCCTATTCGAGCAGATAAGGTCTTTTCCGATGTGCTTAGTGACTGGCTACTCTCTCCGTAACAGCCGTGTGCCAATCACGTTTGACTGCTGTGCGTGGGCGTGTGCGTGGGGAAGGGGGCTCAGCGGCAGGATCGTCAGGAGCACACAGACAATAGTGTGCAACTCAACAGCCGGGTTGGTCTGTGATGGAAATTTTTGTCGATGTCAACTTGTTCAAAAATGCATGACCCGTGTTGTACGAAGCACCCTCAAAGCATGCACTGTGCGCTATTCTTCATCACGAGTTCAACTTTTTTTCTACCGCTGCTATAGCTTTTTGCCGTCGTGCGAGCTTAGCAGATGTGACACGCGGCCACAGACTCGTACTGCATGCCTCGTGCGGTGTGACTCGTGATAAGTTGACGTCAAAAGAATTCCACCGTGGGTCGAACAAGGCAGCG